CTTTTCCAAGTCAACAAAGGCATGGTATAGGTTCTTGTCGCCTTCCAGATGTTTCTCTTGGAGCTGCCTGAGTATAAATACAGCATCAGTCGTGCCTCTCCCCTGTCTAAAGCCAAACTGCATGTTTCCTATAACTACCACTTTCTCGGATCTTCTGGTCTAGGATCTTTTCCTCAACTTTCAAGAGGTATTCCAAGAGCTTGATACCACAGTGGTTCCCACATTCTAATACATCGCCTTTCTGTTTCTACACTGGCACTAGTATACTTATCCTCCAATCTTTTGGAATGTTCTCTCCATTCCAAATCTTTTTAAAGCTCTCGTGGGTCGACATCTCACCTTCACTCCCAAAGGCATCCAACATCTCTACCACCACCTCTGATGTGCCTGCTGACTTGTTCTTCATTTTCTTGAGGATGGCTGACACCTCCTGCAGGCTTACTTGCTGTATCGGACCTTCCACTGCTGGTAGTTCTGTTAGCTCTTCCCATTCGTTCTTTACATTCAACAGGTGTTCAAAATATTCTCTCCCTCTCCTTAGCACTTCTTCCTTCTCTGCCAGAATCCGTTCATCCTCGCTCTTCACCACAGTCACTTTTGGGATGTCTCTCTTTGCTCTTGCACCCTGCTTGGCCACTTTATAAATTCTCTTTTCTCCCTCCTGCGTACCAGTCTCGAACTGCTTCCTCTTTGGCTACTGCCACAGCCTTTTTGTCTCTCTCTTCACCACTTTGTACCGGTTCCTTTTCTCCAGGCTCTCCTTGTCATCCTGCCACTCCTTGAAAGCTTTCTTCTTTTCCTTGATCTTCTGCACTTCTTCTGTCCACCACCATGTTTCTCGTTCTCCTGCTCCTCTCCCACTTGTTCTTCCACACAGCTTTTCTGCCACTTCCACCGTTGCTTCCTTCAAGGCCTTCCACATTTCGGTTGCTGTCTCTCTCTTCGGTCTCTTCAGTCTCTCTCCCACTTGCCTTCTGTATTCTCCTGCATATTCCCAGTTTCCACACCTTGATCTTCTGCAGCTTCTTTCCAGTTGTTTCTCCTTTCCTTTTCTTAGAGAACGTCCCATCCATGGCCAGCAGTCTGTGCTGGTGAGCAACTACCTCACCGGGAATCACTTTTGCATCTCTCATGGGTTTATGGGTTCTCTTACTCACTGCTAGGAAGTCGATCTGGGAACTGTTATCTCCACTTCGGCATGTCGTTAGATGTTCATCTCTCTTCTTGAATCCGGTGTTTACCAAGACTAGTTCAAAGCTCTCCAATGTCTCTAGCATTTTCTCTCCTTCCTCGTTTCTCGGGCTGTATCCAAAACCACCATGACATGCTTCATAACCTCCTACTGTTTCTCTTACATGACAGTTCAGATCAGCTCCTAGGAAGATTTCTTCTTCTTCAGGGATCTCTCTAAAACTTTGTTCAAGTTGTTCTCTGAACTCTTCCTTCTCTTGATCTTCACAGCCAATCTGTGGAGTATAACCACTCACGATGTTGATCAGACTCTTTCCTGCTAGCACCTTAATTATCATCAACCTGTCTGAGGGCCTTTGGACTTCCACCACCCTTTGCTTGAGCTCTTCATTAAGGATGATACCCACGCCGTTTCTTCCCGTTCTACTTCCGGAGTAGTACAGCTTATAACCTTCTCCGATCTCCCTTACTCCGCCGCCCATCCACTTTACTTCTTGCACACAGAGTATTTTCACTTTTCTCTGCTTCATGGTCTCTGCTATCTCCCTGCTTCTTCCAGTCATTGTGCCGATGTTCCAAGTGGCACATCTCCACTCTCCAACTTGCTTCTTTAACCGTCGTCGCTGGGTCGACGGTACCCGATGCATATTTCTCACACCGTCCCGGGGCTGACGGTGCGCGTCGCATACGGCGGACGTCCTAACTTTTACCGAGGCTAGCAGTAAGTGGTTTCGATCCATATTTTTCGTAGGGTTTTTTTACGCTCGGCTTACAAGGCCTGACAACAACCTTCCTCCTTTCTCAACCTGGGCTTGGGACCGGCTATGGCGGAGTTTATATATATATATATATATATATATATATATATATATATAGAGAGAGAGAGAGAGAGAGAGAGAGAGAGAGAGAGAGAAATATGGGCTAAGCTTGGGGCAATTTCGCCCCCGCCTTGAGGGATCGTTCTGTTACACTTTGCCCGCCGTTGACGGCTGCAGCACGGAAGAAAAAGAAGCTTAAAACATATATAAAAATATGAAACACATTAAATTACGTACCTTTTTTTCTAGTAACGCATTATTCTAATATGTACCTAGCGTTAGGTTACGTTAACACTTTGATCAGTATTCATTGTGCCAAAATGTGACAAATGTAATTATAATTCTATATACACGTTCATGTAAACGACCACACGCGCAAATACATACACATGCAGAAAGTATAGTATAATTACGAAATATAGATGCATTATATCTTAGTAAATTGCCTAGAAATATTGTTACGGTACCAAACGCCTTGACGACCGGTGAAT